AGGATCTGTGTGCCTCTTACATTGTGGGTATCCCTCCCCAGCTAGCTAGCCAGTTCCTCAAGGGCAGGGGCCATATCTATCTAACTGCCTATCTATTTGTTTTTTATTTTTTGAGTCAGGGTCTTGCTTTGTTACCCAGGCTGGAGTACAGTGGTACCATCACAGCTCACTGCAGCCTTGACCTTCCAGGCTCAAGTGATCTTCCTGCCCCAGCCTCCCAAGTAACTGGAACTACAGGCACACCACCATACCCAGCTAAATTTTTCATTTTTTATTTTGTAGATACAGGGTCTCACTGTGTTGCCCAGATTGGTCTCAGAACTCCTGGGCTCAAGCAGTCCTCTTGCCTTGGCCTCCCAAAGTGCTGGGATTACAGAGTGAGCCACCACACCCAACTATATCTATTTATTTAAGAATCCCAGTACTTGGCCTGATAGCTCAATACCTCTATGTTGAACTATTAATCCAAAAAAAACAATAGAGTTGGCTGGGCATGGTAGCTCACACCTCTAATCCCAGCATTTTGTGAGGCCAAGGTGGGCAGATCACGAGGTCAGGAGTTTGAGACCAGCCTGACCAACATGGTGAAACGCGTCTCTACTAAAAATACAAAAATTAGCCGGGCATGGTGGCACGCGCCTGTGATCCCAGCTACTCAGGAGGCTGAGGCAGGAGAATCACTTGAACCCAGGAGGTGGAGGTTGCAGTGAGCTGAGATCGTGCCACTGCACTCCAGTCTGGGTGACAGAGTGAGACTCTATCTCAAAAAACAAACAAAAAAATAGAGTTTTCTCTATTACACAAATTGGAGGGTTTGCATTGAGTGTTGTATTTATCCTCTATCCAGTCTTGTCTTGGAGCACAAAGCAAAAAGGGGCAGCATCCTCCACTGTCTCTGCAAACTTAGGCCTGAGCAAGAGGGCTGCCCGCTTGCTTCCATGTAGCCAGCCAGTGTATGTACAGAGCCAAGTATAGAGGGAGAAGGGGGTGGCACATGGGTGGTTTTGTTTAATTGGAAGACAGTGGGTAGACTGGAACTAGCATTTGAAGATGTTGAGAGCTGTGGATCATGGGCAAGAAAAGCGCTGTTCTGTGACTGTGGGGCAGGAGGAGGAAACTGATGCTTCTGAGGGTGAGCGCGATGAGATAACATGCCTGTGTATGGGCCTCAGGTTAGACAGCGCTGAGGTCTCCTGTCACTAGGCATCCAGCTGGGTGCTACGGCTGTGGTTCCTGTCTCCTGCAGCCCTGTCAGGGCCCAAGGCCTTCCTTGTCAGCACTTGCTGCAGCCTACTCACTGGAGTTGTGTTCTGGGTGGGTGTGTAGAATACTCGCACTCCTACTTGGGGCATCAGGGAGCTCTCTAGCAATTTCTTCTGCACCTAGGGAGAGCCCACTGCTAAAAAGGCCTGGTCAAATCCTCAGGTGTACATGGACATCAAGATTGGGAACAAACCGGCTGGCTGCATCCAAATGCTCCTGCGTTCCGATGTCGTGCCCATGACAGCAGGTGAGCAGGATGCCATGGTCAGGATGGCGGGACACTGGTGGCTGAGCAAGATGGGGAGGAAGCTACCTGGAGTCCTGGGCCCTTAACACTATTTCCATCTGAGGCATCTCAGATCCCAGCATTTAGTAACATGAGGCACAGCAGGCATTGTTGAAGCTCTATAAAGGCTTAGAGCCATTAGAAAGAATAGGCAACTAAAAGTATAACAGTTTTAATTATCCTCTGGTTTGGTTTTATTGTTGGTTTTTTTTTTTTTTTTTTGTAATTTTATTTGGATATATTTTCAAACTTACAGATATATAGAATAAGAATTCTGTAAGAATATTTCAAGGGTTCAGGTGCAGTGGCTCACACCTGTAATCTCAGCACTTTGGGAGGCCACGGTGGGAGGATCACTTGAGGCCAGGAGTTTGAGCTCAGCCTGGGCAACACAGCAAAAGACTCCATCTCTACAAAAAATACAAAATTGGATGGGTATAGTGGGATGTGCCTGTAGTTCCAGCTATTTGGGAGGCTGAGACAGGAAGATTGCTTGAGCCCAGGAGGTTGAGGCTGCAGTGAGCCAGAATTGCACCACCACACTCCAGTCTGGGCAACAGAGCAAGGCCTTGTCTTAAAAAAAGAAAAAGAAAAAGAAAAAAAGCATAGTTAGAGGAACTCTTACATATCCTTTACCTATTCATTAATTTCCTTTTTTTGCCCTGTATGCTTTGTCATTTTCTTTATATATATTGTACACAGATGCGTATATGTACTTTTCCCCTGTTCAGTTGAGAAGTTGAAGACCATGCACCTTTACTCCTAAATACTTCAGTATATATTTCCTAAGAACCAGAATATTCTCTTGCATAATCAGAGTACAGCTATCAAAATTATAAAATGTAACATTGAGTGATGAGCCATATTCAAATTTTATCACTTGTCCCAATATTATCCTTTATAGTAAATTTTAGCCATTTTTCTTCCCTGACAAGGATTCCCACATTGATTTAGTTGTCAAGTCTCTTCAGTCTTCTTTTATTTGAAACCATTTCTTAATTTTTCATTGTCTTTTTTGATCTTGACATCTTTGAAGAGAATAGGCCAGTTGTGTTTAAGTGCTTCTCAGTTTGTATTTGTCTAGTACTTCCTCATGATTAGATTTAGGTTATGTGTTTTGGCAGCAGCAGCACAGAAGCAGTGTTGTTAGTGCATCGTATGAGGAAGAACATGATGTCAGTTCAGATGTTTGCGATGTTAATTTTGTTGACTTGGTTAAGGAGTTATTTGCCAAGTGTCTTCACTGGAAAAAAATGCTATTTTTTTTTTTTTTATTTGAGACAGGATCTAGTTCTGTTGCCCAGGCTGGAGTGCAGTGGTGTGATCACAGCTCACTGTAGCTGACTGCAGCTTCAACCTTCCAGGCTCAAGTGATCCTCCCAGCTCAGCTTCCCAAGTAGCTGGGACCACCATGCACCACCATGCCCAGCCAATTTTTTATTGTTTTTTTGTACAGATGGGGGTTTCACTGTGTTTCCCAGCTAATTTTTGTATTTTTTTTTTTTTTTGTAGAGATAGTGGGGTTTTGCCATGTTGTCCAGTCTGGTCTTGAACTGGACTCAAGTGATCCTCTCACCTCGGCCTCCCAAAATGCTGGGATTACAGACATGAGTGACTACACCCAGCCAGAAAAGTACTGTTTTTAAGGGTATCAATCAGAAGCTAAAAGTTTGTCTCCTTACTATTCAGCCCATCTCCCAGAGGTAGCTAGTATTGACAGTTGTGTTTTCCTTTTTTCTTAAATATTCATGAAGACCTTTTTTTACCCATAATCTTTTTTGTTGTAATCTAGCTTTTAAAAATGTTTCTCAAAGTCATAATTACACATAGTTTAAAGAAAATCGTTCTGTAATAAAACATTCTTCTGCCCCCGACCCAACATCATTTTTCTGCCCTACCAGAGGCAACATTCATTTCTTTTAACTATTTTAATTATTTGGGCTTTTATTGCTATGTCTCTGAAAAATATACTCATGTAACTATTAGTAATCCTAGGCTGGAGTGCCATGGCATGATCTTGGCTCACTGCAACCTCCGCCTCCCGGGTTCAAGTGATTCTGCCTGCTTCAGCCTCCCAAGTAGCTGGGATTACAGGTGCCTGCCACGGTGCCTGGCTGGTTTTGTATTTTTAGTAGAGACAGGGTTACACCATGTTGACCAGGCTGGTCTCGAACTCCTGACCTCAGGTGATCTGCCCACCTCTGCCTCCCAAAGACCTGGGATTACAGGTGTGAGCCATGGCGCCTGGCCTCCCTCCTCTAGTATCCGTTTTAGATACCTCTCATCCTTACCTCAGCTGGCTCCTCTGCTAATCTAAATGGCTTATCTGCTGGGGTGACCTAGACCTTTGTCTGTGGGGATTTGAGGTCCTGGTCATTGTATACCTTCTTAGGTCATGGCTGCCTAGCACAATTGGATAGGGGAGTCCAAATGTTTATTCAGTTGTCTTAAGAGCAGTTTATAGAAAGTCCATCTTTGACCCAGTGATTTAAGATGCCAAGCTTTATGAAATACTTAATATACTTAATTCCTT